TTATCGCGTCCAGACAAGACGCGATAAGTCGAACCCAGAAGTTCGATTGCCAGCCGCCGAACTAGTGGCTGGGTATAGACGTACACTGAGATTCAGAAAGCAACATTCATGCATGCACTGCAAAGTTTAACTGCCTCCAATTGGAAACAAATGGAAAGGCTGTTTGATGCTGAGGTGCTCAATCACAGTAAGGATTTAGACAGAGACAGACCGAGGCTTCTGAAGACAAACAGATACAGAAAACACCAAGAGAGAACAGTAAGGTTACGTGTGCGAGTAAGTTGCAAGCTTCTTTTTCTCTCCTGTGTTAAAATCACTCTTTGCTCTGCCCTTATTTAAAAAGTTCTGTTACTCTTCTGTAACAGACCAAAGTGCTACGTCTTATCACAGTGCTACTCCAGTATTTTGAGTAGTTTTTGTAGAACACTGGCGTATTTTTATTAGGGTGTCCCTCGAAAGTCAAGGTAGTTGCTGCTGCCCATTTACATTGTCTAAGCACCCCTGGTTCTTAACCACCCTTAACCAAAGTTCCAGGCTCTGGCTAATGCTCACGCATCAGAACATCTTTAGGGAAGCAGAGGAACGGGGGTCCAAGTTCACTGCAGGAACTCAAAGCCGGGAAACTCAGAGTTACTCACTGAGCCAAACGATTACATGGACAGTACAATGAGCATGTGCTATTGGCATCTTTCCTTTGGCAGGAAATGAAATCCTAATGCTTTCATTTGTTTAATAAACTCTCCCACTGCTGATCCCTATGGGGCTCTGTGTTTGAGTCTCAAATCTGGGATATCGAACGAGATCAGTAGTAACTACTATTAGGCAAGGCTCCCATTCTCCTGACTTCAACCTCTCTGAATTTGCTCTGTGTATCTGTTTCATTCCTAGGAATGGGGAGCTTTGGAGCAGGAGTTTGTAGGTTTCTTAGCAGCGGATGATCCCTGAGCTGCGGGACGGCAGTGCTGCTAGCAATGTGACTTGACTGTATCTTCATGTTGTAACAGCACTCTGTGGGTTCTTAGCCGAGTTAATTGCTGTGGAGTGGCCTGGCTCTCTGTCTGGCTTGTCTGAAGTGGATTGTTGTGTAGGGTGCTTACATAATAACCCATTCGTTTTCAGCTTTGTTTATTATGCTTTTGATCTGACATTTTCATTACTTTTGCATGCCACAAGCAGAAAAAAACCGAGGGAAGATTAAAATGTGGCACAATAAAGCCTTGTTATTAGACTCTCCCATTTATTCCAGGAGACGTTTGTAAGTACGATCATCAGTTCACCAGGCTTCCCGTGGCCTGACTCGGAGCAATTAGCTTCTCCTTTCCCCAGAGGGCTAGTTCCACGCTGTGGAAATCTTCCAGCCACACGGCATACGCAGACACGACGCAATTCGCTTTCCCGGTGGCTTCCAGAGCTATTTCTCTGCAGTTTGTTGGCTCTTGTTACAAAGATACTGAGAAAGGGAACTTCCTGACACTTATGGGTCATTGTTACAGGGTGGCTGCCCCTTAACCCGGGTTACTGAAGAGGCCCATCTGGGTATGGATCAGGTGATCTCCCTATAAAGCGCAGAAGGCGAGTGCAGTGAAGGGGTACTTGCTACTGAGGCGGGAGAGCAGGGACTGCTAGGAGTGGGCTGGCTCCAGCAGCAAGTCCTGGGACTTGGCACTGAGACTCCAGCCAGGTAGGGCCTGGGAGTGGCCTGGCAAAGCAGGAAGGCAAGCCCCAGGCAGGAAGGCCTGGAAGGAGGGTGATTAGAGACCACTAGGAGTGTGGAGAGGAGATCCCTGGGATGGGGGACTGAGACTACAGGCAGGAAAGGACTGGGAGTGACCTGATGAGGGTTAAATGGCTGGACTTTGGTTTGGACTTAAAGTTTCATCCTTGAGTTTATTTTATCTGATCCAGAGTTCAAGAAGGAGTGTTGTGCCTGGACGAAAAGGGTGTGTGGAGTTTCCTTAAGGAGCCCCTTGAGGGGGAAACTGAGGCAGGCTGCCTGAACCATGACCCAGGCCATGCAAAGGTGCTCTGGTGTAGGCTACTTCCTCACACTCCTTTTTTCCCCCTGCTATTTCCTCCCACCGTGAAGCCAGAATGCTACTCACATGCTCAGGCTGGGTCTGGCAGAGTCCAGCAGGAGCTGCACACCATCGAAGAGCAGGATTGACCCCCCAAAATTAGGCCCTGATCCTGCAACCGGATTCACAGAGACAGGCCCTTATGCACATGCAAGGCCTCAGTGTCTTTAATGGGCTTTTTGCAAGGGTCTAGCCGTACAGACCTAACAGCATGGTTGTGGCCTTACCGAGTGGTGGTAACTCAGAGGTTTCCATGGAAAAGACTATGGGGCTGTGCCGAGCATTGGCAGCCCCCACTGATTTCAGCTGGAGCTTTGACAATCAGGCTCATGGAGCTGAAATTAATTTCTTAGGGTGTCACTTCTCTTCCCTCTGCTGCTAACACCAGCCCCACCAACCCCCTAGTGCCTTGTCCTGTCTATTGCTATCCTCCATGATGTCTCCTGCAAGCAGAATGACCTCTCAACCCTGGTGTGCCTGATGCCATCTGCCCTGGGAGTCCAGAAACACTAATAAAAAAAATCAATTATCCAAACTTTGGCGACGTTTGTATTTGGACCAGAGCTTCCCAGCTGGGCCAATCGGGCGAATGTAGGAGTTAATATTGTGTTCTAGCCTATGGAGGAGACAGTGGTTCCACTGCAAACTGGGGCACCAAAGACAGCGTGGGGTTTCCAGCTCTTGTCCACATGAGCCATATTCCTTAATGAAGTTCATGTGATCTTCCAGTTGGTGCTTGGTCGATTTCTCTCTTGTCTGTGTGCTGGGGTGTCCACTAAAGGGGTTAATGGAGGCAAGATGGGCCAGTTAGCCTATTAGGCAGCAAGCTGGGAGAATTATGGCTGAGAGGACGTCCCTAATTAGGGGAAGCTCACCTGTGCAAGAACAGGTGGGGCATCTATAAAGCAAGGGAGCTGATGGCAGAGAGAGGCTGCAAGGAGTAGGTTGCGGTCACTCCCTGGGGGGAGGGAGTTGTGAGGCTGGCAAACCCAGAGCCAGAAGGTATGGAAGAAGCTCAGGGAAGAGTAGTAAGGTCCATGAGGGAACAGACCTTGGCGGCTGAAGAAAAGGCTCCTGAGATGGAACCCAGAGGAGGGGGCGGGCCTGGGTTCCCCTCCAGCCACTCAGGAAGCGGCACCGGCTGGGCAGTGAATGGGAAGGCTTCCCGAGCCCATTTGACAGGAGAGACTTTGGTACCAGGGAAAGGAGAAACACAGAGAGTGACCTGGTCATAGGGCCCAGTCACGAAAAGGAGGCTGCAGGGCCCAGAGCGAGAGAGTGGCCCCAGAGAGAGCAGCAGCAGGGCGTGCAGCGAGCAGCAGAAGGGGACCTTGGGCCTGGAAAGATTCCCCAGAGCTGCCAGGAGGAGGCGCCACCTACAGTGAGTGGACCCCAGGACAGTCTGCAGCTACGTTAAGGAACGAAGGCCGAGAGGGTTAGCTTTGAGCACTGCCAGTGTGACCTCACTTGTTTTCTCATTTAAGAATGAAACCATTAATGTTTCAGGTTACATTGTTTCCAAGATGTACATGCATCCGAAGAAGTGGGCTGTAGTCCACGAAAGCTTATGCTCTAATAAATTTGTTAGTCTCTAAGGTGCCACAAATACTCCTGTTCTTTTTGCGGATACAGACTAACACGGCTGCTACTCTGAAACCATTGTTTCCAAGATGTATCTTATGGCTGAATGATGCTTTCATGCTGTACTTGTGATGTGTGGAGGGGAAACACACACACACGCGTGCAGTAAAGCACAGCTAGCTGTCGGGTGTGTATGGGAGGGTTACGGCAGCCCCTGGAATGTGCTGTGAGGATTTCAGCTCTGGACCTGGGATCGTTCTCTGAACTGTTCCTGTAATTCCATAAGCATGGTGCTGATGCTTCTGTAGTGCAGTGTTCAGAGAGGAACAGGAATGCCCCAAGTATATTCTTTGCAGTGTGGAGTACCAAGGAGACTTTCAGAAACACGAGATATGAATGCTGTCTCGGGGAAGATTATTACAACACATCAGTGGCATAGCCACAGCGGTGCTGAGATGGGAGCTCCAGGATTGTCCCTTTCACAGCTCTATTCCTTATGGAGCTTCCAATGAGTTCCTTAATATGTTTTATTCTGTCTCCCTCCATAATGGAAGGTGGATGTGTATCATGGCCTCTGTCTAATAACTGCCCAGAATATCCTTCAAAAGGGACATGTTTCATCACAAGGAGATTTTCTCCTGGTAAAATATTTTAAATTTAAAATTACCAATGGATGAGATTTGCTCACATTAATTTACAATGTTATTAATACTTTTACATATTGCATCAGCAATTCCTGTACAATACACAGGATGGATTCTATTCTCACTTACACTGGTGTAGATCAGAAGTAACTCCGCTGAAGTTGATGAAATTACACTGGCAGAAAATCAGCGTAAAAGAGAGCAGAATAAAGCCCTTAACAGGCAAAGGAATAAAGATTGCTTTATTTTAATTTTCTGGACAGCAAGGATCTAAGTGTGATGGTCTTTTTTAAAAACAATCTGTTAGAGATGAAACATGGTCAGAAAAACACAAAGCTAGAAAGGCAGGGGAAGGATACTACTAAACATGTAATTACTATAATTTACACAGAATAATGAATGCTAGACCAGATGTTGATCAAAAAGATAACAGAGGTATTTGGCCTTGAGGAATGCTAATTACACTTGATCTTGTTACAGGCAGAAATCTCAAGTCAGGTCACTTGTATATCACAAGTTGGATGGAAGCAACATTAAGTTTAGAATGTAAAGTATTACCATCCTATATAAAAGTAAGCCACTGTGTCCAGCCCTGTAGCTTCCAGCTTCTGCAGAACTGTATTGTGTTCCTTGTTTACGTACTGTAATTCTTAGCATAATTCCAAATGTTATGTGATTAATCCTTTATAATGAAGCTACGACTCATGCTGCATTACTTTCAACAATTGTTATATATGACATTATATATTGTTAGTATGGCATTGGGTGTTAACATCTGTCTGCTGAAAAATTCAGGTTTAGCTTTAAAAAAAACCATAAAGCCGTGTTGAAAAGCTCACTGATTTGGGAGCATTAAACTGTTTATTCTCTTGTGATTCTAAATCGGTTGACAATATGATAAATAGCCGCTCCCCAGCTCTGCTAAATGACATATTGCGAAGTTCTTCTAGTCTAACCATTTTTTTCTGTCAATCATTACTTTAGTAAGTCTGCTTTTAAATAAATAATAATAATCCTTAGCATTTATATTGCACTTTTCTTCTTCAATATTCTTTACAAACTAGCTATTTAGTCCTCTCAAGACCCCTGTGAAAGGGACTCTGCCGGCTGAGTTATCCCTAGCAAACAATGCATTTGTTGATATTAGTCCCTTCTCCTGTTTGTGGATTATCGGCAAATAGACTTCAATTTTCACTAATCTGTTTCTTATTTGCCGAATGGCTCATGTGAACATACTTCAGCCTATGAACTATTTAGTTATTGCTTTGAGTATTTGTTTATGCCTAACTCCTGCTATGGGGCTGGCCATCTAAGCCACATGGTATTGTTTCTGTTTCCTGACTGGATAAGTCCCCCACCTATAAATTGCTTTCAAGATGGCCTTGTGAACACTTCCAGTGTGCCTGTATATTTGCATCGGGTATCTAGGTGCAGATACATTCACATGAGCATTCATGACACTTCCCCTATCCATGAACAATCTGGCAATCAACATTTCACTCAGACACTTGCAAACATGTGACTCAAAGGGCTATCGGCTCCTCCTAAAGGCATTCACCTCTTTTATCTGAATGAATGCTTGGGAATATATTTTTTCCCGGTGTTTGTCCAGCTCAAGAAGTGTCCCAACGTCACAGATTTGGAAATCAGCTGAGGCCAGAGAGGCAGTCAGTGTAAGAGGTAACATTAGAACTCCACGGTTCCCACGGGGGTGCCCAGGCCACTAGACGGCATCTACGCCCTACTCTCTTTACTCAGCAGGGTTACACCGAAATCCAGACACTCTTCTCCTGAGTTGTAGAACGTAGGGGGAAAGTTCAAACTAAAGGGCCTGATCCTGCAATGCAATGAGAGATGCTGAGCAGACTCATCGTAATGAGAGGTGCTGAGCACTGATAGCTCCTGTTCTCTTCAGTCGGAACTAAGGGTCCTCTGTACCTCCCAGGATGTGCTCAGCACCGTACAGTATTCTCTCCCTGATGTACGCCCTGCACACGGTGATCACCCCTTTCCTGATCTCTGCAGTGATTAGCTGGCACCTTAAGCGTCTCCCAAATTTTATTCTTAAATTCCAAATACATTATGCTGAATGTTAGTTACAAATATTTGATCTTAGCTGTTACTACCTTCACCAACAGATGAACTGATGCTCTGTGCAGAGTTCGATCTGCTGCCCACTGCTTTGTAATCTGCAACAGGGCTTTCGGGGCCAGATGCAATGGAGCTACACTGACTTGCACCAGCTGAGCATCTGACCTACAACATCAATGATTTTGTCACAGAATTTCAGTGGCAAATGCCTAAATTTCAAGTTAAAAAAAACAAAAACAAATCTGTGACCTGTCCAGGTTATTGATTCTAAAAAAGCATCGCATTCCAGAAGACTAATGCAATGCACAGATGCATATTGCTTTTGTTTAAATACATTAAGATTAAAACATGCTGCAGGGCAACAGACACAATTACTAGATGAAACACACACACACACACACACCCTTGCTGGGGAACCACCTCAGGCCTCTATCACTTGAGCTAAAAAGGATTTCCCCAATATGTAGCAGTAGTCGGTCCCTTTATTCTGTCTGTGGCCCAGGCACTAGAAGACAAATATCTCATACATTCCACTGCCTGCTGTAAGACAATCAGAATATTTCTTGCCCCCAGACATCTGCATGGAAACAGCGATGTCTGGATTTAATGATATTGATCAAGATATAGGATAATATTTTCAAAAGTGCCTAAGGGATGTAAGACTCAATCCTATTTTCAAAAATGACCTGGGCACTCAATGAGACTTCCACGTGAACTCCTAAATTCCTTGGTCATTTTTGAAAACAGGATTTAGAGTCCTAAGTCACTTAGGCATTTTTTAAAATGTTATCCTTTGACTTGTTTAATCCTCAGCAAGGCAGGCAGTTGTGACCCCTAGTCCAGGGATCGGCAACCTTTGGCACGCGACCCATCAGGGAAAGCCCCTGGCGGGCCAGGCTGGTATGTTTACCTGCTGCATCTGCAGGTTCGGCCAATTGAAGCTCCCATTGGCCTTGGTTCGCCGCTCCAGGCCAATGGGGGCTGCTGGAAGCGGCGCGGGCCGAGGGATGTGCTGGCCACCCTTCCCGCAGCCCCCATTGGCCTGGGACGGTGAACCACGGCCAGTGGGAGCAACGATCAGCCGAACCTGCAGACGCTGCAGGTAAACAAACCATCCCGGCCTGCCAGCGGCTTTCCCTGACAGGCCGCATGCCAAAGGTTGCCGATCCCTGCTCTAGTCTAATGACTAATGGAAACAGACTGGATTTATCGTACCTTTTATCTTTCCTTCACTGGAAAGGTCATTTAGTTTCAGACCCAAATTTAGCTGCTTCCTACGCGAACCTGGTGTTTTCACTGATTTAAATTAGTTATAGTGGAGTGTGACTTTGGCACTGATGTCCAGAAAACATGATGAGTTTCATCAACCGTGAATCGTTTCACCATAAATCTCTTTAAGCTTTCTGCACGGACTGTTTTTAATGGAGTCCTTTGTGATCCCACATCCGGACTATAGCAGACGAAGGAGGTATGAGCTATGACCGTCTTCAGTGGTTCGCACCTGAAATCTACTTTCTACAGGAGTACTGAAAGAAGACAAGAAAGCATAGTCCCAAATAGGTAAGCCGACAGGACGTGAACCTGCACCACTAGAGTCAATTGGAGCTTTGATGTTAACTTCAGCATCAAATTTGAAGGGTAAAGCCCTTGCCCTATTGAAGTCAATGGGAGTTTTGCCTTTCTCTTCAATGGAGTCAGGATTTTACCACCGTTTCTAATATTTTGATATCCCTGTGATTAAAGCGTCATTTTTTTGGATTCAACTGGAACACTTACCAGCCCATCACACGTGCTCAGAGCTGCTAAACCACCTTTCAGCGCCCAGTTCTGGACCTCTCCAATCATGTGACAAAAGTTGTGATTGTAAGACTGGATCTTGGCATTGGTGATCCCTCCATATCGTCTCTCACTAACAAACCCAGGAGCAAGGAGATTGTTATTAACGCTTAAATTGAATTTTAGATGCTGTCCTTTGTAATGCAGCTCATAAAAGGAGAGCAAATTGTTCCTTGAGGAAAGGGCCCTTTTGTGAATTGCGCGATGAGCCAGATCATAGGACAGAAAAGATCCGCTCTCATCAACTCGGACTGGATGAACAACGTCATAGCCAGAATATTGCTGGAGAACCGTCTCTGTGAAGAAAACATTTGCAATGATCAGATATAAAGACGATGATGATCTTTCATCCCAAAGGATCCCACTGCACATTATGTTTATTGGCTCTACAAATTCCCAGTAGGGAGGGATCATTCTTCCCACCTCTGAACTGGAGACACATATGGGATGATAAGTGTCAGCTGTTTAAAAGAGCAAAGGAATACACCACAGTAATTCAGAACAGGAAGTGAAGATTATCTGAGAGGGAGAATTTAGGCAAGCTAAATTACATGAGCAGATAAACGTATTCAAATTGGAATGATGTCAGGACACCTGAGTTAACCCCCTTATTCTTACAAAAAGTGCCAGAGGAAACAGTCCCAAATAAATATGAAAGTTTCATTAGACAAGTAGTGGTGACGAGCAGACAAAAAAAAAGTGTTTTCTGGGTGAGTAGTTATTTAACTTGAATACATTTTTAAATTCTCATAATGGAACTTCATAAGCAAATGTAAATATTTAATCCTCAATAGATAGAGTTTAATTTGATTGTTTTAATTACAGTTGTTTCAAAACTGCCACCCCAAAAAATTAATAAAAATGTTCATAAACAAATTCTAGGGTCTTTTTCCCCAGAGAACATAAAATTTTCAGTTAAAGGTTTTGACAAAAATTCAGAAAATGACACCCAGTTTTAATCAATTGGAGATAGACATTGAGCATGAAATTCATTGATGTACATTCTTTGTCTTCCAATAGAGCATTAGTGAAACACATGACGTCAGAGAGAGTTTATTGACACTACTTATGATGAGGAGAGTGAGGAAGAAAAAAGAGTTCAAAATACAAGATCTGAAATTTGCAAATGGCTACTTTTTTTTTATAATGGACTGAACCAAACCTCCAAATCTGAACAGCCAGAAGAATGGCCATATAGGGTCAGACCAATGGTCCACCTACTCCACCTTCTGTCATCCAGTCCCTGCTGCAGGCTGTCAGAGGTTTAGGGACAACCAAAGCATGGGGGTGTGTCTCTGACCATCTTGGCGAATAGCCATTGATGGACCTGTCCTCCATGAACTCCTCTAATTCTTTTTTTGAACCCAGTTATACTTTTGGCCTTCACAAAATCCTTTGGGTAGGAGTTCCACAGGTTAATTGCGCATTCTGTGAAGAATTACTTCCTTCTATTTGTTTAAATCCTGCTGCCTATTAATTTCATTGGGTGACTCCTGGTTCTTGTGTTATGTGAAGGGGTAAATAACACTTCCTTATTCACTTTCTCCGCACCAGTCATGATTTATAGACCTCTGTCATATCCCCCTTAATCATCTCTTTTCTAAGCTGAACAGTCCCCGTCTTCTTAAACTCTCCTTGTATGGAAGGTGTCCCATAGCCCTAATCATTTTGTTGCCCTTTGCCAGGTACTGAAGTTAGGCTTACCAGCCTGTAATGGCCAGGATCAGCCACAGATTGTCAGGTGTCTGCCAAAGTTTGCAGTTTGAACCCATCTCTGCTTTTTATCTAATGTGGTAGTACACATTATAACACCATCTCACTTGATGTAATACTTCCAACTCTCAGCAGTTTTTTCATTAGCAACTTTTATTCTCAAATGCTATGGGTCATCATGCTCTCTTGCCCTTCCCTGAGACTTTGCAAGATGTCACACAAGCTCTATATTTGGTCTCTAGTGAGGGTCATCTTGGCTCAGTGCCTGCAAGCTGCATGGAAACTATTTAAAAACACCATAATAGAGGCTCAAATTAAATGTATACCCCAATAGATAGATAGATAGATAGATAGATAGATAAACAACAGTAAGCAGACCAGAAAAATGCCACCCTGGCTAAACAGCAGAATAAAAGAGGTGGTTACAGACAAAAACACATCATTTAAAAATTGGAAGTTTAATCCTACTGAGGAAAATAGAAAGGAGCATAAATTCTGGCAAGTCAATGCACAGTCAACCTGTGGAACTCGTAGCCACTAGCCAGAGGATGTTGTGAAGACCAAAATTATAACGGGGTTCAAAAAAGAATTAGATAAGTTCATGTGGTCCATCAATGACTATTAGCTAAGATGGTCAAGGACATAGCCTCTGGATGTCCCTAAGCTTCTGACTGCCCATAGCTCAGACTGGACAACAAGGGGTGGATCACTTGATGATTGCCCTGTTCTGTTCATTCCCTCTGAAGCATCTGGCACTGGCCACTGTCAGAAGACAGGATACTGAGCTAGGTGAACCACTGGTCTGACCCAGAATGGTCATTCTTTTGTTCTCCATCATTTGGAGAACCACCTGACAGAGGAAAACATGAACAGTACAGCCCAGTACTCTAGGAAAGTGTACTCTGATTCCCCCAGAGCTGAATTCCAAAGAAGCCACAAATCGTCACCTAACCACAGAATTTTTAAAATTCCCGAGGGACTGGAGTGATTCCCGGCCCCGGGACCAGCCCTGGTTGTGCTGCCGGCTCAGCCCAGCAGACAGTCACCTCCCAGCAGGGCCGGTGAGTGCGCCCGGGAGGCAGGGCGTGCGGGAGGTGGGTCTCTTCGGGGTCTGGGAGGGTGCTGGGTTGTGAGGGGGCGGGGAATATGTGTGTGTTGGGGCACTAGGGAGTGGAAGTTCTGTGTGGGGGGGTGCTGGGCAGTCATGGTGGGGCTGTGGGCAGGGGGGCGCTGGGAAGGGGTGGTGTGCAGGGCACTGTGCATTTGTGTGTGGGGATCTGGGAGGGCACTGGGCATAGTGGGTCCAGGGGGGCTCTGGCCATAGGGAGTCAGGGATGTGTGTGTGTTGGGCTGGGGGGCTGTGTGGCACAGCATGGGCCCACCCCTGACGGGAAGGGGTATGCTGGCAGCACAGGGCCAAGTGGGCAACTGCCGATTTGTAAATAGTGCCCTCACGCTGTGCGGAGCGGGACCGTCACTGCCATGCCATGCCCCGCCCCATTGCCCCTCGCTGGCCCCTTGCTCTGGGGACTGACCTCCCCGTATCATACTCCATTGCCTCCATGGGGGCCCACAAAAGGTTAATCTGGCCCTGGAGCTGGGCTCTGCCGGGTCCAGTGGCCCCTAGTGGCAGCTAGCAGCAGCCCATTTCTGTGGGGAAAAGGAAATTCTGCAGGCAAATTAATTTCTGCAAAATTCTACATTGCGCAGTGGTGCAGAATTCCCTCAGGCGTATCTATTCTGTTCTGCCTGGGAGGACAGAGCCTGTCCCACTCCTACCTCCTCAGAAACACCCCAAAGCCCTGCCCCTCCATGCCGAGCGTGCCGCAATAGTGAGCAAGAGGGACCGAGTGTCACTCTTTCTCACACGTACGACTGCCCATCCCCTGGCCCCGGTGGTGATTTATGTTTCTACCAGCTGCTCCGGGCACCCAAACCGATCTGCCTGCGCTGACAGGGAGGGGCATGTGACCGGTCTTGCAGCTTCCCCTTGTTTCCCCATCAGAAGTCATTTTTCTGCAGGGAAGCAAAGAAATCTGCGGGGGACATGTATTTTGTGCGTGCGCAGTGACGTAGAATTCCCCCAGGAGTACCCATTATAAAAGGGACAGGACACACAATTCAGCACACCGGCCTCAAAGACATATGGATCCTTTGGTTTGTCAGTACTGCAAGCACCAAACAGTCCTTATAAATATATATTACAGATAAAAAAAAATGCCTGTCACACCAAAAGGGACAAAGTAAAAAGTGTGCTGAGATTGCCCAGGAAAATCACGGTGCAGTGGATGTGATTTCTGAGACAAAGTCTACTTAGGTAAACAGTTGCCCCCTAGTGATAACTGTGGTGACTAGTTAAGGCTTGTACAGTAGTTCCACTTGTATGACCCAGTCAAGGCACCTGCACCAGGGGAAGGTACCAAAGCACCCTGTATACCAGTGGATCTCCCCAAACCTCTTGACTTCTTTGGCATCTGCACTAATTTCTCCTCTGTCTCTACTCATCTCTAATCTGAGTGATGGAGGGTCCTGGCTCTGGATGGCTCTGGGGGACTCTCTAGGAGTTGGTCTGGGCCAAGTAATACTTAGTCCTGCCTTGAGTGCAGGGGATGGGACTAGAAGACCTCTCGAGGTCCCTTCCAGTCCTACCATTCTATGGATCTAAGGAGGAACGTTCCCAGCCTTCACGATTCTTCTCATCTCCTGGTACCTGCAGCAAGCCAGGAGTTTACTGCTGGGGGTCCATTACAGGGCTTCTAATGCTGGAGAAAGGGGGGCGTTTAGACAAATGCCCCTTCCTCTCCGGGTCAGCGGGCACCACCGCTTCTGGGGGCCCTTCCATCTGCCCTGCACCTAGGTCTTTGCCAACAGTGCTTCTATATCGTGATGCCAACTTTTCCCAACCTAGCGCTAAAAATTTCCCAAACCTGGTGAAAAATCCCCAGATAAAGTTGTTTTTACAGTGCTTCTATATCCAGGGAAATTACCCCAAACCTGGGAATTTGTGAGTCAAATGTTTCAACTTGGGAAATTGGGAATTTTCATTCAAAACGTTTGACTCAAAAATTCCCAGCTTTGGGGAGATTTCCCAGGATCTAGAGGCACTGTTTGCCAAGCGCACGGTTCAGTCGCGCAGTAAACGGATCCCCGGGGCTCTGTTCCTGGTTTCACCGCCTCCTCTCCTGCCGCACCCGGGCGGTCCGAGGCCGCTGACCCCAGACAGGCCGGCTGGCGGAGCGTTACCGGCCCGGCCGGAATGAGCTCTCCCGGGACTCACGGGCAGGAGCCGAGCGCCCGGGGCTCCCAGCCCGGGTTCTGCCTGGGGGGACCCCGCGTGCAGCTGTCAAACCCCACCGGCCCCGGCTGCAAACCTCGCCGCTCCCTGAGTCTCCCCGCGCCCGGCGCGTCCCGGAGAACAGGGCTGCAGCCAGCCCGGGGAGACAGCTCGCCCCCCGCCGCCTCCCTCCCTCTCTCCGCCCTGGTGCAAAACCTGCAGCGGCTTCTCCCCGCTGCAAACCAAAGAGCCGCCCGCGGGGTACCGACCTTTCTCCGCGGCTCCGCCCGGCTGCTCGGCGCAGCCCGCCAGGGCCAGGGCTCCGGCGAGGAGCAGGAGGCGCCGCAGGGGGGCTGACATGCTGGGCACGGCCCGGGGGTCACTTCTCCTGGGGGCGGCGGCGGGCTGGGTGAAGGGGCATGTCCCCGCCTCGCCTCGGCGCCCCGGGGCCAGCCCGCTCGGGGGGCCGCCTTCACGCCTCCGTTCCCCGGCTGGGGCCAGTCCTCGCCCCGGGGCCCCTGGCTGGCACTTGCCGGCTCTGCGAGTGCCCCGGGCTGTCAGCGTGGGCGCCCCGCGCGGTCCCCGCCCGCCTCCGGCTGAGAGGGAACAACCCCTCCCCGGGTCCCCCCCAAACTCCCCGCGCCCCAAACTCCCCGCGCCCCCAACGCCCCGCGGCTCCGGGGGGAATGAGCGTGTCCCGGCCGCTGCTCCCGCGCACACGGGGCAGGACAAGCGCCGGGAGTGACTCAGACCTTCCCCGCCGAGTCCCCAGCCCGCCCCCCGCCGCCGCGGCTCCTTCCCCGGCCCGGCCTCTCGGGCTGGTGCGAGGGAGCCTCCTGGTGGCTTTGCGAAGCACCCGCCGGCGCTCCCCGGGTCTCCCTCGCGGAGTCCTTTGCCGGGGCCCGGGGCCTTTCCTTCGGCAGCTGGGCGCTACTACAGGGGGCCCCGTCAGGGCTGCCCAGAGGATTCAGGGGGGCCTGGAGCAAAGCAATTTCGGGGGCCCCTTCCATAAAAAAGTTGCAATATTATAGAATGCTATATTCTCTTGGGGGCACCTGGGGCAAATTGCCCCACTTGCCCCCCCTCTGGGCGGCCCTGGGCCCCGTCCCACCCGGAGTGTGTGTGGGGGGGTTGTACTGAGATTTCAATGTGGTGCCTCCATGGTCCCATTCCAGGGAGGACAGATTGGCGTCCCTCCTGCTGCAGGAGTGAACAGGACCCTGCGCCCCGAGATGTAAGTGTAACCCCCCCGGCAGTCACTGGTTTATAGACGGGTAGGGTGGCCAGGCCAGCCTCAGCTCCCTGGATCTTACATCCTCAGGGGAAATCATTTAAAAAAAACGAGTAAAGACTGAGATACAAAGTAAAGACTTTGTCAAGACTGTCCCTTTAATCCCTGTGGTACACAGCAGACCTTGATTGAGAGGGGACAGGTGGTTAGACACATTGGCCCAGATTCTGAGCTGCCCCTGGGCTATGCTTTGCCCAGGGCAGGAGGCGGGGAGGGCATCTTTGAGGGGCTATCCAGAGTCTGGGAGTAGCTGCAGACTAGATGCCCCATTGTCATTTCGAGAAGCCCAAAGTCTGCTCCAACTTGTGCCCATCTGCCCACTGCCCAGTACAGTGTGTTGGTCTTATTCTAACATTCTCCAAGAAGTCTGGCACTTCTGGCTCAAGGTCGCCAGAAATGAGATCTTAGAAATCAAGACAGGATTAATTTAAATAATGCTAACCAGCTTCTCTTCCTCCACCAGTCTGGGGGGAAGGGGGCGCAATGTCTGTCAGATGGTCTGAAAGTATCGGATCTTATTTCTGGGAGTGGGATGAAACCGTCACCCTGTCCCAAGGCTGGGATTCACATCAATATCAGACTGGCACCCAGGAGGTGTGAGTTTAACTCCCTGCTGTGCAGCACATTCTCTAGGTGAGTGACCCAGGGCAAGTTACCCTTACTGGTTTTTTTGTCAATCTAGGGAGTAAACTCTTCGGGGCAGAGACTACATCTTACCATGCATATGTACAGCGCCTTGCACAACAGGGCCCTGGTCTCAGTGGTGGCCTGCTGTATGCTCTCCTGTATTATTATTACTATGCTGAAAGTGTGACTGCTTAGATCGCAAACATCTTTGAGACTGGGTGTGGACGCACCCTTCAGTTAACGTAACTGGATAAATTAATCCCAAGGCCTCCCTCCCCCAAGACAAGAAGGGGTTGTGAGTGCACACAGGAGTTTTTGGAATGAGCGGGCAGAAGGCTTTTGCTAGGTATTGTTTTGGGTAAGGAGTGTGTGTGTGTGTCTGAGGGAAGGGAGAACACACACACGCAGAGCAGATCGGGAGACAGACCGATGGGCAGAAGGAGCAGCTGTAAGCATGGTGTCTGACTGTGGAAGAAACCTGGGGAGAAGTTTGGGGATCGGGGTGAAGCCTGAAAAGAATGCTCTTGGGGCTGTCCGCAAAAGAAGCTGTTTCCTGCTGTTTGATCCCTTCTGCGTTCAGAGACACACGACTTTGTACAATCTTAGTAAATAAATAAAGCCGCATCTGAGAAATACCTGACAGCCACTGATTTCTGCCTCCAGGCCCCCCAACTCTGACTAGCCACGCGGGTCAAAAATGAGCCGTGTTATTATGGACGATAAACCCCAGGAAGCCATTCCAGCAGGGGCAGTCCCAATATTTGGGGCTTTGTTTTATTCCTGGCCAATGGGAGCTGCAGAGTCAGCGCTCAGGGCAGGGGCAGCATGCGCAGCCCCCTAACCCTCCCCAGGACCCGCAGGGATGTGCCGGCGGCTTCCAGGAGGGCACGGAGCCAGGGCAGGCAGGGAGCCTGCCTTAGCCCCTCTGCGCTGCTGGACTTTTAGCAGTCTAAAATCTCCCAGTTTGGCTTCAGGAGCCTCCAGGAGATCGAGCCCGATTCCGGGAGACTCCCGGCAAAGCCAGGAGAGCTGGCAACTGTAGGGAACAGAAAGTGAACCAGTTATACAATAAGCAGAGGTCTCAGCTCACTGTCTCGTCATTGTTAGGATCAGGCTCTTTACTCTCTCTGCAAACAATAAAGAGGAATAAAATGATGGTTAAAAACCTCACCGAATTTAAAATAATGCGCTAAAGCCCAATAAACATTCCCGCTATGGGGGCAGATCCTGCACGGTGCTGAATGCCCTTTGCAAGGAGCAGAGCCACCTCAATGCCCAGGGATGCTCCACGCCTTGCAGCTGCCGGCTCATTCGCTGCCTACGCTGAAATTCTCAGTGCTTTGGCCAAAGACGAATTGGAAGTCTTGTAATTTTTGCAAACACTGCCCTTCGCTGTAATACTGACCCTAAACGGGAAGAGCATTGTCACTTAGCATTTTATTCTGCATAAAAAATATCCTGTCGACTGTATCTAGATGAAAGGTTAGAAACATCTGAGAACTAGTGGGCAGGCAACTGAGCCATCTCTAAATTTCACAGGGACTTATGCTGGTGAAGCGAACGACAGGGCTCTCTCCTGCTCCCCTCGCTCTGTGGCATGTGCACTCGGACCTGCCCCCACCCCAAATCCCCTTGCCTGTGCCGGGGGCTCTACAGAGCAGAGGTGAGCAGAGAGGGCACACATGAAAGAATTCAATGTACGTGAGCCAGATTTGCTTTCAGCCAGCAGAGTAAATCTGGAGTGACTCCTTTGAAATCAGTAGTGTAACCCAGTGGCTCTCAACCTTCCCAGACTACTGCACCCCTTTCAGGAGTCTGATTTGTCTTGTGTACCCCCAAGTTTCACCTCACTTAAAAACTACTTGCTTACAAAATCAGAGATAAAAGTACAAAAGTGTCACAGAACACTATTACTGAAAAATTGTTGACTTTCTCATTTTTACCATATAGCTATAAAATAAACCAATTGGAATAGAAATACAGTACTGTACTTAGATGTCAGTGTACAGTATATAGGGCAGTATAAACAAGCCATTATCTGGATGAAAGTTTAGTTTGTACTGACTTGGCTAGTGCTTTTTATGTAACCTGTTGTAAAACGAGGCAACTCTCTAGCTGAGTTGATGTACCCCCCGGAAGACCTCTGTGTACCCCCAGGGGTAGGTGTATCCCTGGTTGAGAACCACTGGCTCTGTGTGTTTGCACTAAAACTGGTTACATGCAGGAGGGGTGGGAATGACCAAGCCAAGGCAGCAGATGAATGGTTGGTTATTTGACAATGAGGCAATACACTAAAATATTTTTTAAAGAAGAAATTGAGTGAATCCCTGCTGGACTGGAGCAGGGGCAAAGTCAGTGGTCAGGTGAAGCAGCAGGACTTTGGGTTTGACTGACAGATCCCGTCTGTTAGGAATTAACTTATTGAATCAGACATTCTGGCCCTCTGCACATGGGTGAATTTCCTCCTAATAGCTGATGTTCCAGCAAATGGGAATCGCTGCATAAACACAATGAATGAGATTTTTGAGCGCACTTAACTTTGGCTCAATTCTGGCTTCAGTGAGGGCAGAATTAGATCTGTGCTGGGCAATTCTGAAAATGCAGCCACTGTTTCATGTTTACTTAAAGAAAAAGGTTTATGATCATTTTGAAACACATTAAAAATGTTTGCCACACTTTGGCCAAATTTTGTTCTCAGCTACCCCAGGCTAAATGCAGCCACACGCTGCTCACTTTAAAGGACCTATTTTCAGTTAGACTGGGGTTGGATATGTAACTGAGAGCAGAATTAGGCCCCTTTTGCCTTTCTGATTTTCAGGAATATTATTTTGAAAATAATACTGATCACATTTTAAGGTACATTTTACAGTGAGCATGACACCTAGTGGGGGAACCAAACAATCACAGTCTGTGTAAGCCTGATCAACAGATGCTTAGGTATAAGGTAAAATACAATATCTATCTATCTATCTATCTATCTATCAAGTAAAGCAATGCTGCTTTAGTGTTACTGATATTTTACAAACCAACCGTGCTAAAAATGTGGAGCTAATTATACCCTTAGAAATTCAAACTATGTATTTGGATATCTCTTGAAAAAAATATGGCATTTCTGAAACCCGGGTCACATATTTCTAAACTGTATTAGAGGTCCAGTAGCTTTCCCATAAACTTCTCTTTGTGCTCCTCTTTTTTTCTTTGTGCCTGTTTGGGTCTTTTATTTGACTGATGACTGAAATGTGTACAAAGGTCCAGAGGAAAAAAAGGAACCACAGGAGAGATTTTACAACAAGCCTGATAAATGTTTAGCCATAAACAGTTGGATAATTAGACATCTGTTTAAATAAATGTGCCTGATTTCACTAATGTGTCAATTTACAGTCATTTAAACCTTATAATATGAACCACTCGTGTCCAAAAAGCTAACCGAGTGATGGGCACCCTAGAAGTATCCAGATAGACATTGGGACGCTTAAGCTATGTCACATGTGAGAGCTCTTTCAGTGCTTGTGTAATACTTTAAAGAATAGCGGGCTTGTGTTTTGGTAAAGAGCCCAATCTGAGGCTGCTCCACACATGGTTACAGGTTCAGTCTAGATCGGTTTTTATCAGGTAGGGTTTCTACCTTTTACACACTATGAGTGAATCAGGCAATGGGAGCTGGATCAGTGGAAGTTGAGGGTGCTTTGCCCTTCACAGGTAGTACTTAGCATTGG